GGGGGGGGGGAGAGAGAGAGAGAGAGAGAGAGAAAGAGAGACCGCGCGCAAGAGATAGAAAGAGAATTTATGGATCGCGTAGAAATAGCGCTGTGTGCTCGGGCTCCTATTAGCAATTTCAACCGTGGACTACTATCACGTGGCCTAAGCTCACCGACCTCGCTGTTTTTTCGCGGGTAACAGTCGAATTTCCAAAGCGCGCTCGCTCGCACACACACACACACACACACACACGTACACACATATACTGTATCAGAAGAGATCTCCTTGAAATCAACCGCCGCGACGGTGGTATAATAAAGCAGAAATGAACGGGAGGACGTACCCGCAGCTTTCTCTACTCAAAGGATCTTTATCATCCCCGCGAATACTCCGAACTAGTCTAAAAAAGAATCGCCCCCACCCAGACGCACGAGCTCTCCCTTGAACGGTACACTAATTGTTCCTAGGATGAAACGTGTCGAGGATTACACGGTGTTTCGCGGGAGCGCGGGCGGAGGACGTGCGGCGGGAGAGACCGCGGAAATAATAAGCCTCTTTCGAGAGGCTTTCAACAACGGCTACTACTACCAAGACAACGACGAGGAAGAAGAGAGAACGCGAGGACGACGACGATGATGAGTAGAACGACCCTCTTCTCCACCTTCCCGACGACAACGACACACAGAATCGCCGTCTTCGGGGGGGCGCTCCGCTCTTCGAATTTAACGTCTTTTACATCGTGGCTGCGAAGGTAAAGACGGACGCGACGTCGCGCGACCTTAGGAGAGAAACCTTCGCTTAACGAGCTGTTTTGCATCGCAATGCCTCGACCTCGTTATCGGTTATCGACCCGCGTCCGTCGCGGATTAAAGAGTACCTGCGCCACAGTCACGTGCACGCCGTGTCGGTGGTGCGTTCACGCACGGGTCTGTCCCGTCGAGGCGCGGTCGTGTTTGGTCGTCGATCGGCGGGCGAGAGAGCCCGTCCGTCCGACCGGTGAAAAGGCGAGTCGTTTCGCGGGAGACCCGTCGATTTTCATGCCCGCGCTAAATCGGCGGGCGGTCGCGCTTCGCAGAATGCGGATCGAACTTGCGCCGCGCATTTGTTTCCGAGGGGGGAAACTTGTTCGTTCGTGGCGAACGAGCGGCACACACCAGTGCTTTTGTTCCTTTGCGTGTTGGAATTTTTCGCTCGGCCACTCGCTCTAGTACCAAGCAACCTACTATGCGATTCTCCTTGTTTTACAACCGTTTCTTTCTCTCCTTTTTTTTTTTCTCCGTGGTATCACGAAACTATCGGCGCCGATTGGTGCCGACGGAATCTTAGGTCGTCTTAACCGGCCCGGCCGTAAACAAGCGGCTTCTTTCTAAAGCATTTCACAGTAATTTCTTGAGAAAGTGTAAAAAATGTTGTAAATTTCATGGACAGGATTTGATTTATAACGTCATCTAGGGATATTCGTCCGAACAATCGATTTACGTTACAAAAAAGCCTATTACATTACAAAATACCGGCTATTATCTATACCGCACTGTCTATCCTTTATGGTTTACCTAACTTTCAGAAGAATTTCTACACACATCGCTACATAACTCATGCAACTGGTAGAAGCAAAACCAATAAAATACTTATCTTCAGAGACAAGAATGCAAAAGAGAAAGAGATTTCAAACGAATTGGAGAACTACCTGGTTATGTGAGTAACTCAGTTGTTTAATCTATTTTTGAATAACACGACATATGATAGGGTTAGATCAATGAGAGATTTTTTATTGAAAAAAAAATACTTGAAAATTTATTTGTAGGATACAAAATTTATATCTTTGTGCGTGTGAAGTGAAATTTATTTCCATTTACTTTAAATCCCACAAATAAACCTTTGAATATTCTTTCTTGATGTACATCCTTTCTTGATGATAATCTTGATTGAGAAATTTTATTTTCACGTTTTGTTGTGCTAACTCTGCAAATTTCGTTGGAACAAACTCAACATGTGGTGGCGACAATAACTATTTCATAATGAAAAGTTCAATAATCTTTCGAGCTTTATCCGCTTTTCTAGATAGTTTCATAAGTATCACGCGTATACCCTTGCCTGGCGGATCTGCGAATCTGCAACCCCCGCGTACAAAGCTAAGTTACGCGACTGGCATACGCGAATGCCGCGATTTCACAGCGCGCCTGACCCGCTTCGAAACCCATGAAATCGGTTCCTCGATCAAATTCGTAGGTAAGTTCGAAGCGTTCGGACCAGACCCTTGGTTTCTTTTTGCGAGGGTCCACCCAGTTTCCACCCAGTGGCAGAACGGAACTCATCAGTCCGGGAGGAAGTGGACACGTCGGAACAATTTCCTTACACCGTCTCTCCTTCCACCGTCCTCGTACAACCCGACACCACCCCCTTGGGCGGCAGCCTCGTTCTCTCTACCCCGTCATCGCTACTGAAATTCTGACCCCTCAGCGATTGACCA